CACGGCCGGGCCAGACCTGCTGGGGTGACAGGGTGAGTGTGGTGACCGCTCAGGAACATGGCCGGGCCCGTCTGGGGCTTGTTTTGGAAGAGTCTCGGGGACTAGGCTGTTTGCTGTCCCCTGCATGTGGGAATGAACATTTTGCCCTCAGAATCTCATCAATGTGCACCTTGGAGCCATTTTCCCTGACCTGCTGTCACCAAGCTGACGTTGCTTACTCTTCTCTTTACTTGACATGGTTCCTTCTGCTGAGGGAGCCAGCCCCAGGACAAGAGCCCAAGAGAGGCTGCTGTGGGGCTGCCACGGTGGTGCCCGAGGCTGTGAGCGCTTCTTTGGCGTCCCCAACAGAGAAAGGTCTCTGGGTGAACAGAGCACGTCAGGAATGGGCGGTGCAAGTCCCACTGTCTGCAGCAGAGGCGGTGGGCACCAGAGCCCGCTGGCACCACAGAGCTTTCTGGTGGCAGACGTGGCAGCTCTAGGAAGGGCAGATGTCACACCAAGCATCCGAGGTCCCAGCTGCACACAGACACGCTTGTCCCAGTGAGGAGAACCCGTGTGACTTTATTTTCTGCTCTTCCCTTAGCTCTTGGAGTTTGATAAGGAGCTGTCTGTCTTTAAGGACAGACTGTATGAACTGGACATCTCGTTCCCACCCAGGTAAGGAACGTGCTGTTTCCTGGATGAACCCGGCCAGGAAGGCGGCATCTTCCCCTGCCCCCTCTGGTGCATCTGCGTGCCTGTGTGTGCCAATGTGTTGGGCATGAGTGTGCATTCTGTGTGTACCATATCTGTGTGTACACGTGTGTCTGTGTGTGCATGTGTGTCTGTGTTCATGTGTGTTGTGTGTACGTGTGTGTTGTCTGTGCATATGCTGTGTCTATGTGTACATGTTGGTGTGTGTGTACGTGTTAATGTGTGCACGTGTTGTCTGCACATGCATGTGTTCGTGTGTGCACGTGTTGTGTTCATACGTGTGTGCACATTTGGGTGTGCACATCTTATGTGTCTGCATGTGTGTGTGTACGTGTGTGTGCACGTGTGTTGTGTTTGGGTGTGTGCACGTGTTCTGTGTCCATGTGTGTTGTGTGTCTGTACATGTGTATGTGTATTGTGTCCATGTGTACACGTGTTGTGTATCCGTGGGCACGTGTATTGTGTCCGTGTGTGCATGTGTTCGTATGTGCACGTGTATTGTGTCCATGTGTGCATGTGTGGTCTGTGTGCACGTGTGTCGTGTGTCCGTGTGCACATGTGCTGTATTCATGTATGCACGTGTGTGTCTGTGTGCATGTGTGTCCATGTGTGCACGTGTCCATGTGTGTTGTGTTCGTGTGTGTCATGTGTGCACGTGTGTCCGTTTGCACATGTGTGTTGTGTCCGTGTGTGCACGTGTGTCTGTGCACACGTGCATTGTGTTCATGTGTGCACATGTGTGTGTCCTGCACTTGTGTGCAAACTGCACCTTCTCCTGCTCTTTTTGTGGCCTGAAGAAAGCAACCATCTGAGAGTAATAAATAATTACATTATCTTTTTTCAAGAAAATGTTTTTTCCAATATGCAAAATACGGCTTTATCAGAGTTGCAGGCTAGAGATTCACAGGGCCTGTGTCTTATGGATCTTTCTTGGAATATCAGGGCCTCCTAATGCAGCATGTCCACATGGGCGTGGCTGTGTTTAAGGTGTGTGTGTGTGTGCGTGCCTGGGTTTGAAGTGCAGGTGTTGCATGGGTATCCTGGTACGTGTGCAGACCTGGTGAGGATGTGCATGCGGTGAGGACTTGTGTGCCCGTGTATGGGGTGTGCTTGGTGAGTGCACAGGTGTGGATCACACAGGTGTGGGTGTGGGGGGGTGTGCCTGGTGAGTGTGCAGGTGTGGATCACACAGGTGTGGGTGTGGGGGGTGTGTATGGTGAGTGCACAGGTGTGGAACACACAGGTGTGGTTGTGTGCATGGGGTGTGCATGGTGAATACAGAGGTGTGGATCACACAGGTGTGTGTGGGGTGTGCATGGTGAGTGCACATGTGTGGATTACACAGGTGTGTGTGTGTGTGCGTGGAGGTGTGTGCCTGGGTGAGGGGGGGTGTGTGTGTGTGTGGAGATGTGCCTGGGTGAGGGTGTGTGTGTGCATGCATGGAGGTGTGTGCCTGGGTGAGGGGGTGTGTGTGTGAGTGATGTGTGCCTGGGTGAGTGTGTGTGTGTGTGCGTGGAGATGTGCCTGGGTGAGTGTGTGTGTGTGCATTTCTATACAGATTTGCTGGCACAGAGCAGTTCTCATTGTTGGAAGCCCCAGAGGACTTCCACCAGCAGACCTGGAATTTGCCTCTCACCTGGGAGCAGGGTTGGGTGCCCGAGGACCCAACTGGGTGAGCGTGGGGACACAGGCTTCCCTGGAGCCAGGGGCAGTGCTGAGGGCTGAGCCTGGAAAGTGACAGAGTAGTTTCGTGTCCAGGGGAGGTTTTTGGACAGGTTGGAGGGGCCTCCGAAGGCAGTGGTGGCCCTGGCCTCCGGCCCCTGAGCTTCTTCCTGTTCTGCAGAGCCACTGAGGCTCCCTGCCAGGCACCAGCACCATCCTACAGGGGGTACGGGAAGCCCCAGGTGATCTCGGGCCCACACCCTTCCTCTTGGAGGGCTCATACTTACCGCTTGGGTCTGAAGTCTGACTGCTGGACACACAGGCCCTCAGAGAGCCCCTCGCGCCCCCTGGCATCCCAGAAAGGTCGTAACACACAGGCCCTGCGGACCCTGACCCTCAGCTTTCCCAGGGCACCCATGCTGGCTGTGGGCTTGCTCTTCAGCATTTGCCTTTGTGAGATCGGAGGGGATGGCGCTCCTTGCTTAGAGCACCGGAGCGTGGTCACCCGGGGTGTTGGCGTGCACACTGGCAGAGTGGCACCCAGGAGACATGTCACTGGCAGGTGGGTCTGAAGACCAGCAGGGTCTTCTCCTGCAAAGGTGTTTGTTACTGATCCCATGGACAAATAGAACTCTGCTCTGAATGGATTGTAACTGAATGCTGTCTGTCATTTTGCTAGAAAAGGTGCTAGTATTTCATTTGTATAGCTCTTAATTTTTGTCCTTAACTGAAAGCACAGCTTTTACTAGCACTTCGTTAGGGACAGCCACAAAAGTGACTGGTTTCAGGTGGTCAGGAGCAGGAGGGTGAACAGGTGTGCAGGAGGCTGGCCTCCCCATGAAAACCTCTCCCAGGCGAGACCCTGTGCTGTTAAGATGGTACCTTCGGGCTGGGACAGCGCCCAGGGTGCAGCCTCCCCAATGCCTTTAATGCCATGCAGAATTTCCACTGGTGTAACATGTTAAATCTCCACATGTGTGCTTAGAATTACCGGGGGACAAGCGACCCGTGACAGCTGGGATGTGTCCCACCCACGCTGCTCTCTGGAAACCAGGCAGCTCTGAGCAGAATCGGGGCCAGGCATCAGCCTGTAGCGGTGAGCAGGGTCAGGCCGCGTCAGCAACTAGGGCTGAGCAGGGGTGAGGATTGACTTTCTTCACCCAGCATTGATCTGCCCGGCTCTGCAGATGCCCAGGGCCCTCAGGGCGGGAACTGTGGTCTGTGCCCCAGCAGCAGCCCTGCTGCCCCCACCCCTCCCCGTGCGGCCCTAGGCTCAGGTGGCAGCGGTCTGCGCATCCCAGCGGAAGCACAGAGCCGCCGCCTTTTTACACATCCTAGCTAGAAGTGAATTTATAATTTTTAGTTTAACTTTGAGAATTAACTGTCATTAACTCGACAAGATGAAGTCTAAAGACGGCCCCTCAGAGCCACCCCACTGGCGTGACGGCACGGCGCTTTCAGGCGTCAGCGTTTCTCACCAAACCTCATGTGGCGCAGGGCCAGTGAGCGCAGCGCCTCTGCAACCAGAGTCCCGGTCCTGCCCCGACACTGCAGAGCTGGGCACTCGCTCACCCCTCGAGGCCTCAGCGTCCCCCCTAGGGCGGCACTGTCTTCTGGGCAGGCTGAGCCTCCAGGCCCAGGCCTGCCGACAGTACCCGCCCCCCAGGACAGCCGCTCTGCAGCCAGAGAGCCCATGCTCCCAAGTCGCCGCAGTGGGGGTCTGGGCGTGCCGCTGGCCATCAGGTGGCTCCTGTGGCAGCTTCCGGAATGTGGGGGCACTGCGTGTCTTCCGCAGAGGCCGTGGTGCTGCGGGTAGCCCGCTGGGGCTGGCTCTCCGTGTGTGGACGTGTGCGTGTAGAAACACAACGTGGTGTGTATGGAGGACGGGAACTGTCTGTCCCGACCATTGCCGGGGGGTTCCCGTTACACGGGAGCGAAGTGTCTGTGGACTGCTTACATAGTGAAGAGACTACATCGTTCTGTTTATTAAGAAGAAGACCAGGTCCCGAGAGCCTCAGTCCGGGTGGGCCCATCACCGGCCATTGCCATTCGTTCTTAAATATTAGTTCATTTTAAAAACAACAATAACAAACTTGTTACATGATTACATAAGTAACATTTTTGTGGAAAAAATTCCTATTTTCCAAACACAAAATAATTAGTGAGAAGAGTGGCAGTATTTCACACGTTCTGGAAATTTGCTGAAGTTCGGCCTCAGAGGTGGGGGGAGTCTGAAGCAGGGCGGCCCCACACCCACGGGCGCCACAGCTGCTGCCCGAAGGCGGCAGGTTCCTCTCCTCCGGGCTGACCTTGAGAACGGGTGTCCCTAGGAACACAGTCACACGTGGAGACTGTTGCTCTGCGCACGGGGATGGCACCTCCTGCCAGAGCGTGATCTGGCGGCCACACACACGGGTGCCCGGGAAATCCTGGCTGCCCAGCGTGCAGGAGTCTCGATGTGGGCACATCCGGCGGCCAGGGCAGGCGGCACCTCCCTCAGAACCGCGGAGCTCAGCGGAGGAGTCTCTGTGGTGTGGTCGCCGCCAGCCTCTGAGAGGAATGCGTTTTCCAGCACCCTTGGGTCTTCTTGAAAGCGGAAATTTTGTCATTGGCAGCAAATGGCGTGAGCTTCTGCTGGTGGAGGCAGGCTCATCCGCCTGCATGAGAAAATGACTGAACAAAGTCTGTCAATCCTTCTGGCAGAAGATGGTGTCCACGAAAATGAGCCACCGCTTTGGCTGACGACTCGGACGCAGACGCGCTCCCTGAGAGAGGAGGGCCACGTCGTCCCGCAGGGCAGAGGGCTCCTGGAGGTCCCGTCTCGTCCCACCCAGGCCTGAGGCTCAACACAAGGAGTCACTTCTCCTGTTTCACTCAGAATTGAAGGGAGCTTTTTGTTCAGTGCTGAGGGATTGACCCTGAGAGACCCTGCCCAGCACTGCCTGTTCAGCTGCAGTCTGGTTCCCACACAGGTGTCAGTGGCTTTACCACTTTGGGCAGCGTTTGCCACATCTGTGCAACCCCAGCTCCATGAAATCAGTGAATATTGCCTCCGTGTCCTCGTGAATGTAGAGCTCACCTTGCAGGCCGCGGCAAGGGTCCAGGGACCCACAGGGACCACACACCAATTCCACAACCGGCCAAAACGTGGAAGTAGCCCCAGTGCCCACAAGGAGTGGGACCGAGACCCAGCACCGACGTGGAGGCCACCACAGCCGCCAGCAGCGAGCCGCCATCATGCACAGCTCCCCACGTGAGTTGAAAACTGGGTCGCACGGGTGGAGAGAAGGCCCTGGGACTCC